ATTAATTAATAAAATTTGATTTGATATTATTTTTTATTCGGATAAATATTTAATTTAATTTGTTATATTATTAAAAAAATATAAAAAATATCACTTAATTTTTTATATCATTAAAAGATATTTTTTTATTAGTGATGTGGGACCCATTTGAATATATTTGGTGCCATGTCAACCAAAGGTAAATTTCTTTATTAATGATATGGAACCATTTGAATAGATTTGGCACATAATAACATGACATGTCAAAATATTTGTCTATGTCATTACTTTTCTCAATTTTGCTCTTTACATCATCAAAAAAAATATAAAAAATACCACATAAGCGAAGTTAATGGCTCAAATTAACAAAAGAACTAACGGAGTGCATTTCTTATTGTTGAGGGAACGAAAATATGCATTTCTTAAGGTTGAGGAATGAAATTTAGCATTTAACCTTAAAATTATCTGTCCAAACAAAGAGAATATTCTCCCTCCCCTCACTCTCCTTTTCTTTCCCTCCAACTTCCTTAATCCAGAGAAAGTGTAAATCTTTCTATACTCCCCAATCTGTTTTTATTTTGTTATTGTAGTAATTGTTTTTGGAGTTAAGAGCAGCAGGAATGGGTCGTCGCAGTCGCAGCGGAAGAAGAGGGGGTGGAGGTTAGTGAACCTTGTTTTCTGCAATATTATGATGCGATTTGAAATTTTTGCGTATAAATTTGTCTACTTTATGTTTGTCGCGATCCAGCATTATCTATTTGATTTTACAATTGTTTTTATGTTATATATATATATATATATATATATATATATAATGTATGTGTACAGGAAGGTCTCGTTCTCTTTCTCGTTCTCCTTCTCGTTCTCACGCACATTCCCATTCCCATTCCCATTCCCAATCTTCTGCTGATGATGGTAAGTTATATAAAACTTCCTCCCTGCTTCCAAGGAAATTACATTTAGATTCTCTTTATTTTTAATAAAATCCAAATGCTATTTGTGGGTGTTTTATTTATTACCAAATTTCTTAATTCATGGAAGGTGAACATGCTGCCAATCAACATAAAACAAAATCTTCTGGAAGTGATGGGCCATCTTCCGATGGTGGCTGGTTTTCTTGGGGTGGTGGTCGTTGGTTTTCTTTTGAAAGAGTTGAGTGTAAGGATCTTTATCAAAGGTATAAAGAGGTAAATTTCATCTTACCCAAAATGTGATCTGTGCAATATGAAGCGCCGTAAACTTTAATAGAAGTTTTTTTATTAATCATTTTATATTTTGGAAGTTGTAAAAAGTATTGAATTTTAAGGAGTTTAAGAAAATCAAATTAGTTTGAGGAACAAAATTTGAGAAAGCCCTCTTAAAAAGGTCCTTTATGCATGATTCCTGTTCTCATGACATGTGTAAATGACTTAGTATTAGCATCTTTGCTACGCTATATTATAGATTACAATTATTATTTATTCCTTGCAGGTAGTAGCACCTTTAGGTGTTCCTTGTGATCTAACTTTTCTTTTTTATGAAATGGCAGTGTGTGACTTTGCGTTTAAAAGATAGGGAAAAAGATGTTTATGGAACTTGCTCTAGATACCAGGAAGAGTTTGAAGAGTTATGTGGTATGGTATTTGATTGATAATTGTTTGTCATTTATATTTTCTTCTTACTTCGTCCTGAAGATATTTCTAGTTTGAGTATGCATTGAATAAGCAGCCTTGTGAAATTTAATTGGTTTTGCTGATGTATTAGTTACTTTTGATCTGTGGATGTAAATTGGGTTGTCTTTGCTGTCATGATATTTATGGGAATCAGGAGGCATTATTTATTTGTATTTTCCTTTAGTTGAACCACCAGTGCATAAATTGTGATCACAATGCAGCCTCTTTAATTTGCATTTACATGACAGGTAAAAAATATAAGTCTCTTTTGAGTAGCTGGTGGACTGAGAAGGACGAGAAAAGACTGTGTAAGTGGTGGTCAAAATTTCTGAGGTAAATTGCCTTTAATGAAAGTATAGTCTCTAAGTTATTAACATAGACAAACTAGTTTTTCTCTTCTCACTTGAGGTAGAGAATCTTGGTGGTTAATCAATTTCTCTTCATAAGATAACAATTTGTCATTGTTAAAACTCAAAACAATTAAACTGGATTAAGAAAATATTTTTTAAAAAATCTGGAGGTTGATATCCTTCTGACAAAGGGACCTCGTCTATTTTCTTTGGTCTAACAAAGGGCTATTCTTTCAACAAGCAATTTCTGACACAAACCTTTATCATAGCCTTTGAAGAAGGGAGAGACAGTTTGGACAGTCTCACTCCATTAAGGGGAAAAAGAGTGATACCCTTAAAGCATCCTTCTGTTCATTCTTTAAATCCTTTTGTCAGGGTCTTGGCTGTGGAAAAATGACATTATAGTTTGTGCCAATGTTGAATTATTAAGTGAACTTTATGATTAAAAGTTGCCCTTTTTACTGGTTCAAAAATGATTTGTCTACCATTTACAGTTGTTTCATAGTTTGTCAAGCGTGTTTGGTTTATAGCTAGTTGTAAGTTATATTAATCTTCTTTTTCAAACACAAGTTTGCTGATCTTCTAATCTGTCCTTTTTAATGGTTTAAGATGCAGTGCAAGAGATCCGATGGGCCTAAAGATTACGAAACTTTTTTGTTAGTCCTGAAAGAGCATGCAGAGGCATTAAACTTGATTAGTGTTCAGTTTCTGTTTGGAATTTAAGCTGTGGCTGTGCTTTCACCAAAAATTATTTTAGTGTTTGGGTAGCTATTTATCAAATGTTCTCGTGACGTTCTCTTTAGGTATAATTAAGTTGTTATTAACTTAGAAGTAAATTATCTTACAATTATGACTTGGTAATCATAATATAAGTTTTTGTGAGATTTCTAGAATTCTATAATTTGAGTGTTTTTCTTAGAATTTACGGGCTTTTTATTGTATTCTAAAAACTATCGTACTGGAAGAATTTACTAAACGCTAAAAGAACTGAAGTACTGCATCGTTGTAGGAAAAAGTGGTAGTAGGATGGTGGGAATACTTCTGACATCAAACACATTGCAGTCCATGGTGTTGTTACCTTTAGACATCATCATGTGAATGGGAAAGTTTTATTACTTAATAAACCTTTGTATCGTTTTCTGGTGCGGGTTATGTCAATAGGAGTTTTGGTTAAAATAGAAATAGGTTTTGTTTTCTTCCTTTCTTTCAAATCTGCGGGGCTCATAATTTTATTGCTTGGAAAGGAGACTGTAACATGAGGAAGGTCTTTTATCTCTGGAGTGTTTTGATTTTTATCTTTAGAGTGTTTTGACGTGATTAATGATTTGGGTAATGATAAGTATACTTTATGATTTAACATATTTGTTAATAGTTTCCGGTTCATTCATTAAATTTTATAAGTGGAATTTTTTTCCTCTTTGAATTTAAATTTGAAAATAATAATTTGTTAATAAATATATTGTAAAATATGTTGAATAAAAAAGTAGATCAATTATTGTTTTAATGATTTAGATAATGGTTGTTAATGCCTGGGTGTCAAGGAGGTATTCAAAACCCCCTTTATAATATAAGTGGTGTGTCTTCGAAATTAGCATATACACTTTAACTGTGAAAACTAAAATTGAAAATTTTACATACAAATTTTGCGCAAGTTGAAGTCTTTTTCCATATTCAATTAAGGAGCAAGCAAGGTAGTTATATTTTGATCAATATTTGTGTTAGATTGTTGAAGACGATAATCTTAAGAGAATTGTTGAACTATAGAAAATTAATAATATAGGTTCCATATAGTATAGTTATGTTTTTAAATTTTTAGTTTTGATTTTTAAAAATTTAAAATCTTAAAATAAAATTAAGTAATTCTTTAAATTAATTAAATTTAGAGATTTGAATATTTGTTTTAAAATTTTATACTCAATAAATTGATATTTTTAATTTTTAATTGTTAATTTTGATTATTTGAGTCTTGAAAATTAAAATTAAAAATTCAAAACTATAACCATATTAAATTATGCCATAACATCCCATTGAACCAATTGCAAAACTATAGAAAATTAGTTGGGAGAGGCGGTTTTTTTTTTTCGAAATATGGCAATTGTAGTACATATGTTCTAGGTAAGGGAAAGGGGAGAAACCTAGGCTCAAATTAAGCCTTACTTTGGATTGGGGAAGTTGGAGGAGGAGATGCCTCTTTCTTATGTTTGGTTTATTAATTTAAATGGAGGGAGACGGAGATGAAAGAAAGATGAAATCCCTACATTTCTCTATTTTCAATCCTTTTAAATTGGAGGGGTTGGATCGGATTAGTTATATATATATATATATTTTTTTAATAAAATAAATATATAAAAATATTTTATATCAATTATTTTTTTAATTAATAAATTTGAAAAATTTTATTCTATTTTATTTTTTTAATTATTTAATTAAATAAAAATATTATCTTTTATTTTTCTCTACTTTTGGTTATCCAAACAAAATTAACATCAATCATTTTCTTTCCTTCAGTTGTCCTTCCTTTACCTTCCCTTCCCTTTACTAATTTTTATCTAAACAAACACTAAGCTTGATGGAGCCCCCACTAAGTGTGTGGCTTTTTGCCACTCCACCGTAGCATGGGTATCAAATGGAAAATGGTTTAATTTAAGCTTGCCTAGGTTTTATTATCTACATGTTCGTTTGATTGTGTGTGTTAGATTAGAACGTGCTTGGTGCGTCTCACTCTTTCTCATCCCAAAGTCTTTAATAGTCACCATACCATGGGCTTGCCTGTGAACTAGGGGCTAAAAACCCATATTGCGGCCTTCTTTTCCTTTTCCTTGTCTAAATAAGGCTGTTGGATGTCAAACTCTGCAATTCGACGCGATGCCTTATGTGTTACATATTTTTTTAAGGGAAATTATAATTAACTTACCTTTAGTTTATGATAGGTATATTTAAAGACTTGTGTTTTCGATTGGGAGAAGTAATCCACTCCTACAAACCTAAGTGAGGCTAAAGTTATATGTAATATCTTAAACATTCCTACCGTAGTAAGAGAGAGAGACACACATACTTTATTTCATGACTTCTTCAAAATCAACTTAAGGAAAAGAAAGGGAAATCCAAATAAAAATAGTTCTCAAGTAACCAAACAAAATCTTTGGATTTAGTGCAGTTTACATTCTAAAGTGCAGCTTTCTTTTTATTTATTTACTGGGGACGAATTCTATTGAAATTTTTGCATGGTTGATGAACAGTGATGATAAAAGAAAACTTTGTTAAATTTAATGACAAAACTAGGATGAAGACACTAAATCTTAAATTGAGAATGGCATTTAAAAACCACATAGTATTAAGAGTTATTTTTGTTAATTATGCTTTGTATTATAAATATTAGAACTGACTAAACCTATTTTGACTTTTATGTGCACTTAAGGGCTTGAATGGAATGGATTCTAAATTAGAGGTTTTGTTTTGGCCTAGTAAATGTATTTTGTTGTCTTAGGCGGGAGGATACTGTTGAGGGGCGGGGAGGGCATTAGAGGAATTAAGAAGAAAAGTGAAATTCTCTGTCTGTTAGGTAATTGTAGAAGTGGCTTACTGCTTCCAATTCAAAACATAGGCCTCTAAATACACGTTTTAATATCATATGTAAACCATAAGTAGATTGAATGTAATTTTTCCTTTTTGTAACAAAATCCAAGGTTAGAAGTTAGGGCTTTGGTTGTAAAAGAATTTGAAAAAATAATTTGGGAAAGCTAAGGTTACGCAGACAATATGTAAATAAGTGTATTAATTTTATATTTTTTTATTTAAAAATATTAACTTTATCAGTTTTTAAATAAGGATATCAATTTTTAACTTTTTCTATTTAAGGATATTAACTTTTAATTTTTTTTATTTAAAGATATCAACTTTTAACATTTTCTATTTAAATATATCAACTTTTAACTTTTTCTATTTAAGGATTAATTGGATGATAATATAAACATGGCAAATGGACTTTTTAATTGGAATATTAAAAGTTGAAATCCTTAAATACAAAAGGTTGAAAGTTGACATTCTTAAATAAAAAATGTTGAAAGTTGGTATCTTTAAATAAAAAATGTTGAAAATTGACATCATTATATAGAAACAGATAAAATTGATATTTTTAAATCGAAAAATATAAAATTAATATTCTTATTTACACATATTTTCTAAGGTTACAAGATAATTAGCTTGGCCCAGGATTTTGTTATTCATATCACAAAAATTCATGTAAAATGGTAATTGATTATAAAGTAATCTAATTAATTAGTTTAGAGTTTATGGCCAATTATTTTTTTAGCATAATTGATAATTTGAATATAATTAATTCTTTTTTAATGAAATCTATTATCTTATCTGAAAATTTTTTTCTTACATTTTTTTTTGTTGGGAAACACAATTTGGGACAAATAAAATATATAATGATTTTTTTAACTTGTACTCTTAAAGCAGGAGTTAAAACTATTTTTTTTATCATAAATACATATAAAAATATAAAAATTGAGATTAATTTTGATAAGTGTTGAGTAAATAAATTTAATTAAACAATTAATAAATTAAAAATTAATTTTTATATTTTTAATATAAATTTATTAAAATATATATTTATTATATTTTTAACTTATACACTACTATATAATCAATTCTAATTAGTTATATTTTATATAATCAATTATATGCTTTTAATCCTTCATTCCATTTTTCCTGACCCTAGTCATGACTTGATTCTTGCCGGCCTTCCAGATTGCTTTTTCAGGATCTGTGAGAACCAAACATAGCCTTAGAGAGTTTTTGGATCAAAGAGACCCGTTATATGAACGATCAGCGGCTGGTCCTAGCCCATAACTAATTGAAAAAACTATATAAATATATAGTCCCTGCTAAGTTCCCTCGCACTTTTCCCTATCTTAAGTTGTAAGACTTGTAGGTTGTTTGGTGGCTTCTCCAATCCGAGAATTTTGGTTTTTATTTCCTCGCTTTTCACCGGTAAGGGTTCAATTCAAACTCTGGATGCGATGCGATAAGATTCTTGTTATCTCTTCCTCTACTTCCCAATCTGTTCCTATTTTTATAGTATTATAATTTATCTTTCGATTTAGGAGCAGCAGGTGGAATGGGTCGTGGCATTCACAGTGAAGAAGAGGGAGTGGAGGTCAGTCATCCTTGTGTTCTATATTATTATGATGTGATTTGAAATTTTTGCTTATAAATTTTTCTACTTTGTGTGTGTCTGCAGGAAGGTTTGGTTCTCTTTCACGTTCTTGTTCTCATTCTTATGCACATTCCCGTTCCCAATCTTCTGCCCTATCAACTTCTGATGATGGTAAGTTACATAACTTCGTCTCTGCTTCCAGGGAATTACATTTAGATTTTCTTTATTTTTAACAAAACTCAAAATTCTGTTTGTGCATCTTTTATTTATCACCAAAGTTCTTAATTCATGGAAGGTGAACATGCTGCCAATCAACATAAAACAACATCTTCTGGTAGTGATCGGTCATCTTCTGATGATTGCTGGTTTTCTTCTGGTAGTGGTGGTTGGTTTTTTTTTGAAAGAGTTGCGTGTGAGGATCTATATCAAACATATTGTTTTACCAAAAATCCTCTTGTGGTTTCGCACGTGTGAAATTTAGATGCAGCCATGTCACTTATTTTGTTGAAAGTAAGAAAGATTTTCTCAATGACCCTCTCCTTTCTTTCGGTTGTCCTCCTTGTTGATGGCAGGAAGAACGTTGGTTAAAAATTGAAATTTGCGCCTACAGTTGACTTGCAAGAGAGAGGGATGTCTTCATGTAGAATATTACAAAAGCATTCAATTTATCGAATTTCTTATGGAGGGCTTCCACTTGAGCAGTTAGGACTTTGAGAGTGTTGATTTCATGTATTCCAACACTTTTTTTGATTGGTGTTCGTTTAGAATTCCATTGGTAATTATTTGAAGCTATCTCCTTTATGAGGTTATAACCCTCATCAGCATTTTTACTCATTAATGATCCTCCGGTAATTGCATCAATTATGGTACGATTATTAGGAAATAAATCATTATAAAAAGTGTGTACCTGTAACCATATAGGTAGATCATGATGTGGACACTTCTTGAGTAGCTCTTTGTATCTCTCCCATGCCTCATATAATGACTCCATATCTAGCTACACAAAAGTGGCAATATCGTTACGCCTCTTAGTAGTTTTAGCAGGAGGGAAAAACTTAAAAATTTTTGAGCCATCATATCTCATGTGGTGATTGACCCAACAGGTAAAGAATTTAACTAATTCTTTGCCTTGTCTCGCAGAGAGAATGGAAAAAGCCTTAGTCTAATAGCATCATCAGAAACTCTATTATATTTAAAAGTGTCACAAATTTCTAAAAAGTTAGCAATATGAGCATTAGGATCATCACTTGGCAACCCACAAAATTGCACAGATTGTTGAATCATTTGAATTGTTGCTGGCTTAATTTCAAAATTATTTGCTTGGATAGCTGGTCTCCTTATGCTTGAAATAGTTCCTTCAATTGAAGGTGAAGCATATTCCTTTAATGTTCGATTGACTTGATTTGCTATTGGATCTTCAGCCATGATGTCAATTGGCTTAATAATAAGTGCTGTCCTCAGGTTTTTCAATTGATGAAAAGTGCGTTCAATCTCAAGATCAAAAGGTGTAAGTTTTGTGTTTTCAGAACAAGTCATGCACTAACTTGCACACCTGCTAAACAATAAAAAAAAAAAAAATCAAATTAAAACTAGAATTAATCTGCTTGATATTAATTAGAATCAATATAATCCCCGGCAATGGCGCCAAAAACTTAATAAGCTAATTCCATTCTAGCAAGTATACTAGTTAGTTCAAGTAATATAATGATGAAAATAGAGTATCGTCCTACAGAGACTGCAGCCTAACTAAGTACCAAAATTAACTAATTCTAATTTTATTTGAATAATTGAAATTGAATGATTTAATTAAACTAAATAACTAAACTAATTAACGAAAAACTAAATTAACTTTAAGTAACACCAAGAGTTAAAATTTTAAGGCATCCGATTCACCATAATCAACTAATATATAATTTAAATTAATATACTTTCAATTTATTTATTATTTATGTGACAGCAGGATTTCCTATTCTATTTGATACACTTTCTCAAGTTATACCAAACCTATCTTTACCTATTAACCTACTATATCTCTATGTGAATTTAAATAAATAAAGATGCATTATGTTTTATAAAATTCTCTAGTTTACGTAGAAAATTAAGTTCATTTATCACTAATGTTGCACAAATCACGTTGATCCATCTCTGGCTTTCGTTCAATTCATGGTATATATTATTAGAAGCTATTGCATAAAATCTCCTCTCGGTCTCAATTATGCTCTCTAAATCAGTTTTATTGGTGGTCAATCATTAAAAAACATTAAAAACAATAATATATACTCTACATAAAATAATAAATCTTGAAAGTATAAAAATTATAAAACTCTATATTAAATTGATCAGACTACATCGTAGCCTTAGATGGCAAATCAGTTTATAATTAAAGAAAAGAGAATCAACAATCATATGATAAATATACGAGTATCTAATATTATAAAATAAAATTCAAGAATAAGCAAAACCAGTTTGACGATATAAAATTCCAAGTCTTGATCTTCTTTTGTTGTTGAATTTCTCATAGCCGTCTCTCTTGGTCTCCCCTTCCAAAAGCCCTAAAACTGATTTTTGGATGTGTATTTATAGAGTTTAAGAAACCCTATTAGAAGAGAAGTAGGACTTGGAACAAAATAGAAAATTGGGATTTTTGGACGCTGAACGCATAGTACCAACACCCTTAATTACGTGTCGATACAAAACAAGAAACAAAATCTGTAATTCTAGTCCCTTGACGCATAGTGTCAACACCCCGATTATGTGTCGACACCACACCCGTGTTGCGTTTTTGTCCTTGTCTTACAATTTCTTCAATGGTAAAATTTCAGATTGGATCCTCCAGGTTTTGTACGATGAGCACTGAGATCTCAAAACTTAAGATTCATTCATCTAGGTCCCAAGGAAGCCTCTTTCTTCTTGCAATTTAATCCCTTAACTTTTAGAAGATGTTCAATTAATTCCAAAAACTCCTATTATTATGCATCAAAGTCTTTTTCTGCACAAAGAATGCAATCCATGTAAACTCTCATAAAATTCTTCTAAATATTAATAATGGCAAGGCAAAAATTCAACATTAATATGTATATAAATTCAGCTCATCACTCATTCCCACCGTTAATTTGTTCAAATATTTCTTTTTAAAGAGGGGAAGTAGTAAGAAGAAGGGGTGATTTTATTTCACACCTCGAGTGGCTGGGGGTGGGAGTAGGAATTTGTTTGGTGTTGGTTCGTCTTGCATCAAGGGGTGGAAAGACAAATTCTTGTTTGTGGATGATACAGAGTGAGGGAGGTTTGATGTAGAGGTGACAGAGCTCTATAGGTGGAAGGGCAAACATGCCAACCCAAATAAATATGCATTAAGTGAAGGGGAGCAAGAATAGGTAAAGAGGTTGGAGAGGAGGGATGGAGAGGTAGTGGACATCATGCATCTCACCAGCCCAAAGATGCTAAAGGAGATGGAGATCTATGGGCTGAGTTGGTTGAGTGGAGGTATGTTTATTCAAATTTAGACTTGAGTTGTGAATCTAATTAAAAAATTTTAACTCTGTTTTGTTTTGTAGATGAGATGAATCGGTGATTGTCTAGAGGAAAGACTATTACTCTCTCGGAGAGAAAGGTCAAGAGCTCTAGCTGCCACAGCTATAAAGAAGAGAACAGTGGGTGGGACTTCAAGACCCCACCCAAGTGGAGGAGCTCAAGTTGAAACAAGGCCCAGCTCAGAGCAAAGAAGGAAGAGGGTTAAAGAGGAAGCTGCAGCTCAAAAAAGGAGGAGGGTGCAGGAGCTGCAGCCCAAGGCCCTGATTGAGTTTATGCCTCAGCCCCCGCCAGTGCAAATTGACCCAACTCTACAAGAGGTGGGTGTGGTGAGCCATGGGAAAGGGAAAGGAAAAGGGAAAGGGAAGGGGAAAGGGAAGGGCAACCCCTTCCGAAAGCAAAAGTCCAACTTCTTTGACAATGCCAATAGGACAACTGCGAAACAATTCATCAAATCCACCTTTCCAAATGTGGACCTGCAGAGGGTAAGGGATGAGGTGAGCACGAACAAAGGCTTTGGTGTTGTTTGACACACTCTTGAGGTAAGAGTTGGAAGACATCTTTCTTCTTCCTTCTCTCTTTTTTTTTTTTTTTTGACCTCAGCTCTTTTTGCAGATGACAAACCTTGTGAATGCCTTGGCAATTGAATACTTGGACTGTCTCAAGGAAAGAAATGACATGGCTGACGAAAATGATGAGTTTAATTGATAGAAGGAGTAAGCCGAGCAGAATTTTAATGACCTAACTTTCGAACTTGAGAAAGTTAGGGAAGAGTTAGCTGCAACTAAGAAAGCTGTTGAGCTCGAAGAGAAGAAAAGAAAGAAATGTGAAGAGAATCTAGCCAAGTCAAAAAATGAGTTGGCTAAAGTGTGGAGGAGAACCGAGCTGGTAGTCCAAAAATTAGTTGAGCAGCATGTCTCAGATTTCGTAAAATCGATGACTTTTTCAAAGATTGTGGACCTCTATTGGCTACCCACATTGGTCATGGCTTTCATCGATTGTAGAAAGAAGGTGAAGGCCCAGAATCCTAAGGTAGACGAGACTAAGATCACTTTCAAACCTCAAAATGCTAGTGTGGAGGAAGATGGAGATAGCAAGATGGCTGAGTTCCGACTCGAGATAACACTAAAGTGGGAGTGAAATGAAGCTTGACAAACCGTGCTTCCACCTCATCTGGAGTACGAGTTTGTTGCTATCAACGACGATGAAGTCGAGGTGGCAAGTGGAACCAAGGTTGTAGACAATGCTGCCGAGCAAAAAGTGAACTAGAAACATCAAGTGATCAACTAATCTTGGCTAGCTCATCTTTAATGTTTTGTATTTTTAAATTTAAAGATATTTGTATTTCATTGCAAATTAATACAGTACTAATTTGAGGAATTTTTTGTACTTTTTTTACATTTAAATGTGAGTTCTGACTTTAGAATTATAACTTCGAGTAAAATTAAGACCCATGAAAATAGTTAAAAAGAATCCGAGTTGAAGCAAAATAAAAACAGATTTCTAAACTCGACTTCGAGAATTGAAACATTATACAAGGTGGGTAAAAAATTGAATGAGACCAAGTTTTATTGAGAATAGAACTTCTTCAAATTATTCACATTCCATACTCTTGGAACTCTCTTACCCTCGGCGTCTTGAAGTACGTAAGCACCAGGGTGAGGTATTTCAGCTATTGCATACGGACTTTTCCAATTTGGTGCTAATTTGCCGAAACGGGTTTTGAAGCTAGTGAGCCCTGCCTTCCTGAAGACAAGGTCACCAATCTTGAAACCTCAAGGTCGGACTTGTTTATTGTAAAAGTTGGCTACTTTTTACTTATATGCTAATGTCTGAAATCAAGCTTGCTTGCGGACTTTGTTTAAGAAATTGAGGTTTCCTTGAGTAGTTGCTCATTTTGCACTGGGTCGAAATGGCTAACTCTCAAGCTCAAGACACCAATTTCGACAGGGATAACTGCCTCGATTCCAAAAGTCAAGTGGTAAGGCATTTCGCCTAATTAAGAGAAATTGTAATCTTAGGGTTTTATGCAGTTACGAATGACTTTGGGTAAAAATGAGGAGGATATTGGAATTAGGTGCATACCTGTAGCAGTTCGGCTTGTGGTTTGGTAGGCCCAAAGAACACTATTGAGCTCATCCACCCACTTGGCTTTAAATTGATCCAACTTCGGCTTGATTCTTTCAAAAATAATTTTGTTAACAGACTCGACCATTCTATTTGTTTCAAGATGATAGACTGAAGTGAATACCAACTTAATCCCATAATTAGAGCAGAAGTCCTTGAAAGAAGTGTAATTGAACTGAGGGTTATTATTAGCAATGATTTGGTTTGGTATTCCATACCTACAGATGACAGAGTTGAACACAAAATCTTCAATCTGTTTTGAGGTCAGACTTGAGAAAGGTTGAGCTTCCACCCATTTCGTAAAACAGTCAACTGCTACGACCAAATGTGTTACTCCCCCCACACCTTTGACAAAAGGGCCCGTAAGATCTATCCCCCATTGGGCAAAAGACCACGGTGCAACCAAGTTAATGAGTTCCTCTGCTGGTTGGTGGGTGAGGTGTGTAAAGAATTGACATTTTTGGCACTTCTAATCACATTTCTTGGCATCTTCTTACATATTAGGCTAATAATACCTTTGTCGGAATACCTTGTGAGCTAGAGTCCGAGCCCCCAAGTGACTGCCACACACACCTTCATGGACTTCTCTTAAGGTAAACTCCACTTCATATGGTGTCAAACAATGGAGGAGAGGAAGCGAGTAGACCTCTTATACAAGACATCATCAACTAAGGTGTATCGGGATGCCTGTCTCCGCAACTTCATCTTTTCTTGTTTATTCTTTGGAACAGCTCCATCTCAGAGGTAGGCTTTGATGGGTTTTGTCCAGCTTGAAATTTCAGGGTCAACACTGATTTCTATCACCTTTAACCTTTGGAAGCTCCGCTTGTCTAGGACCTCGACATAGACAGACCTCCCTCCAAATCTATTAGAAGCTAACTTTGAAAAGGAATCTGCATGCTCATTCTCTGTTCTTGGGACTTTGGTGAGCTGAAATCTTTCAAAATGGCACTTTAATTCATAAAACATAACTAGGTACTTGGCTAGGGTAGGATCTGTGACCTCACATGTAAAATTTACCTGATTGACTACAAGCTGTGAGTCAATGTAAACTTGTAAAGATTTAACCTTCAACTTGGCTGCCAAACAAAGTCTGAGGAGCAGCGCCTCATACTTAGCTATGTTATTCGTTGCTTCAAAATTGAATTTCAAGGTGTGCTCACTTTGAAAACCCTCAGGCCCAGTCAACACTACTCCAGCACCTAACCTTTTACGTCGATCCTTTGTTGCTAGATGACCTATCGACGTAAAGGGTCCATAACTTGGCTTTGAGTTGGCATTCTCCTGGCTACAAGTGCATTCTACCACAAAGTCCACCAAAGCTTGAACTCAGATTGTCGACCTCTACTGAAAAGTAATTTGGAATTGCCCTGGCTCCACTGCCCATTTCATGAGCCTGTCTAAGCACTTCGACTTTTGCAAAATCTGTCTTAAGGGTTGGTCAGTTAGCACAACAATAGGATGGGCTTGGAAATAGGGCCTCAACTTCCTGACCGTGGAAACGACTGCTAAAGTTGCCTTTTCTGCTATAAAGTATCTCTGTTCAACTTCCTGTAGTACCTTGCTGGTGTAGTATATTGGCTTTTGTTACTTTCCCATTTCTCTAACTAAGACTGAGCTTACTGTTGTGTCAAATATCCCAAGGTAGAGGTAAAGAATCTCACCCTTTTCAACCTTGGTTAGCAGAGGTGGTAAACTGAGGTATACCTTAAGCTCGTCAAAGATGGCTTAAAACTCCAAGGTCCATTTAAACTTTTTAGGTTTCCCTGCTTCATCCTTCTACGCCACAGACCTAAGGATTTTGAAAAAAGCAAGCATTTATTAGCAGACTTCGAGATGAATCTATGTAGAGTTGCTACCTTTCCAGTTAGGCGTTGCACTTCCTTGACTAACTTCGGTGGTTTCATCTCATTTATTGCCTTTATCCTTTTGGGATTGACCTCTATCCCCCTCCTAGAAACCATAAATCCTAGGAACTTACCAGATTCAACATTGAAGACACACTTGGCTAGTTCAACCTCATGCTGTGTTTCCTCAGGTTGTCAAATGTTTCTACCAAGTCAGTCAGGCAATCCTCTACCTTGAGGCTCTTAACTATCGTGTCATCAATATAGACTTCTAAGTTCTTGCCAATTTGAGCTTGGAGTACAATTGTCACCATTTTCTGATATATAGCTCTGCGTTCTTAAACCCAATTGGCATCATTATATAGCAATAGATCTCATCACCTGCATAAAAGGAGGTTTTCACCTCATCCTTGGGTACCATGTGGACCTGGTGATACCTTGAGTAAGCATCTAAGAAACTGAACCTTTCATTTCTAGATGCAGCTTCTACTAACTTATCTACACTTGGTAAGGGATGGTAGTCCTTCGGGCAAGCATCATTAAGATTAGTGTAATCAATGCACATTCTTCATTTACCATTCGACTTTTTGACTAAAACATAATTAGCAACCTATTCATAGTAGTCTACTCTTCTTACAAACCTTGCCTACAAGAACTTCTGCACCTCTTCCTTGATTGCTTACAGCCTCTCTCCTTCAAATAGGTGTCTTTTCTGAGCTACAGGCTTCTTCAAGGGATTAGTGCTTAATCTGTGCACTGCAAGTGAGGTGGGTATTCTGGGCATATCAACCGGGGTCCAAGCAAATACATCCTTGTTTGCCTTCAAAAAGCATATAAGCTCTTCTTTTTCTTTCAAGTTCAATTTAGTCCCAATCTGTGTCTTCTTACTGGGGTCATTGTCATCAATCTGTACCTCTTCCATCTCCTTTGTCGAAGTGGCTTTGGTCTCATCTTCAGGTCTATTATCCGGCAACTCTACTCTCATCACCTGTTGGGTAATCACCATATACCATATTTAGCATGTATGCAGTGCCATAGTTTTCTTCTGTGTCAAGCAAAGCAGTCATTAGACTCATTACTACAGATTCTAGTTAATGGCTACATGACTTGTGTAAGGCAGCAAAAAAATCTAAAGTCAGTAGATAGATATCGGCTTTGACAAGCCACACTTTACTGTTACTGACATCATTTCTAACTAGTCGATACTTCTTTTTCAGAACGCTCAGGGCTTGAGCAAGGACATAAACTTGGTGCGCATGTCATTCCATTGGCCAGGAATTTCAACAATATGAGCGTCGATGTTGAGTTTGGCAGCATGAGCCGAGTATGCGTACTCTTATAATTGAAAGTTGGATAGCTTTTTGAATTTTCTCATGATGTATCAACAATGAGTTGTGGCCTTTTCTGCTCTTGTTTCCTTTTCCCTATTTCCAACATTCATTTGTTTTTGCTTGAAAAATGATTTCAGGATAAGGCTGCTACTAAAATGAAAGTCCACGATGCGGTTGAAAGTGAGAAGAAAGGTCAGTTTAAATCCTTGAAAGAGGAGGCTCAAACTGACACAAGAAGAGAAACTATCAGCAAGAAACACATTGCCATGAGAGAAAACAACAGAAAGCAACCAGTTGATAATAATTCAAATCTCAAGGACATTACATCCTCCACAGTAGATTCAGGCAACTTGCAAAGTGAAATAACTAGACCATCATCAGGATTAGTCTTAAAATGGGAATCAATGAAGTCTGGTTTTCAGAATTTCACCTCTAACCTTGGGGCGAGGAGATTCCTTCCTCTAGGGCAAAGCCAAGAGAACAAAGATTCTTCCAGTGTTTCCTCATCCGAATCCCCTGACGAAATCTGCCAGAGATTGAAACATCCAACTCTGGACCATAGAGATTTTGGTGATGATGAAGATCCGTGACCATGATGCCAACGCCTGTGAGTTGAGCCCATTTAGACAAACCATAGCTTTATGCAGAATAGACAAAGTAGAAGCCTTCTTGATTTCTTCACTTCTGCTTCTATTGTGTTTGCTCTCCTCAACTCAATTTGTCTTCATCTGTGTGCACCTTGGGTGCACATTGTACCAAAGAATCCATAAATGTGCACAGGTCTGATGATTCAATTGGAGGTTTCTTATTTTCGCTTTTGAAAATGATTGACAAACAATTTTTTTCATAATAATTGATTTACTCCTTTTCACCTTACTGATCTATAAACTTATAATATTGTATGCATACACCATATAATTGTGGAGGTTGCATAGAAAATTGCTCTTATCCCACTACAATAGGAGATTTAGCCAAAATGATGTCTGAAGGTATGAAAATTAGGTAAAGTATACATTTAGCCCTTAACCTTATTAAATTTAAATTTTTTTGGTTTCTTATCTCTCATACTATGAATTTTTTAATCATTAAACTTAAATACTTTAGCCCATTAACTAGGGGAATCTATTAACTCTATGTTAAAATGAAAACAAAAAATGTTTATAGGATTAGTTTTTAAAAATTAAGAATGTAATAATTTAGTTCTCAAAGTTTAAAAAATTTTAAAAAAATAATAAATTAAAAAGAATTAATGGAAAGATTTCTCACATGCACAAAAATAGTATTAGATATTTGGAATTAAATTGAGTGATTGGCTCAATTTGAATAAAGAATTTTGATTGAGAAAAAAGAAAATTTTTTGGTTGAATTAAGATAAAAAGTTCAAAAGATTAAAATAATATAATCAATAAATTTTCTTTAATTTCAATCCGATTTCTGTCTTCGGATTGAGTTCATTACCCGATTTAATTGTAGATATTTAATATTATTCTTGTATATGTGATAAAGTTATGTGTTAATTATTTTTAATTTACTAATTTTTTTAATTTTTAAAATTTAAAAATTAAATTGTTATATTTTTAATTTTTGAAATTTAATTCTATAAATATTTTATTCTTACTTTAATAGAAAGTTAATAGATTTTGTTAGTTTAGAAGTTAAAATTTTTAAACATTTAAGTGTAAAAATTAAAAAAAAATTTATAATATAAAGTAAAGAGTTAAACTTTTAAATTTAATAAAATGAGAGGTTAATGCATGAAAATTGAAGCCCACAGAGGTCAAGGGTTCTACTCGGGCGGTGGGTTTCCTCCAAGTACGGAGAACAATCCAGTCCATGATGGATGGGCCTGGCCTGCTCCAAATCTCCAACATCTATTTCCACTCTTCCCTCCCAAACGCAGGCCACCGCAGCAATCGCTGACTTGATTCCCACCCATTTCCGTTCGTATTCTCCCTCTTCTCTGCAACCAATGAACAAAACCGCCATGAGTTCACCGGAGACAGACAACATTCCGGTCGAGGTGACCTCCATACTCGATTATCTTGTAGCCTACCACTACGATCAGCTCCGCTCCATTGCGCTCTCTCCGGACCTTAAGTTCCACTATCCTCTCTTTATCGAGTACTCTCTCGTCTCCTAATCAACTATCCTCTCTCTCTCTCTCTCTCTTCTTTTTTCTCATTTTTCTTTCTCGTGTTTCTTCTTCTATTTCTTCTTAGGTTTGCGGAGCTTTTGGATGTCGATCCTGCACTTGCCTATAACGTCTACTACAAACCTGATAAATACTTTAGATTCTTCGATTATGCGCTCTTTTAGCTCAGGTATGAAATAGACGCATAAATTTGGTTCACATTAGCTTCATATTATTTTTGGGAAAATTATAGTATTTGTTTATTGGTTCTGCTACTACTTTTATTTTGATTTTTCCAAGTAGAGTAACCTAAATTTTGAGTTTTGATGTGCGAATTTTCTGATTTGTTTGTTTGTTTACGGTTAGATTGAAGCGCTGTAAAATTAGGAAATTTGAGATGGACATGAGCCTATTTATGACCAGCAAAAAGGAAGAATAGAGTATTAGAGTCAAGATATTACATTTCCCTTTCTTTCTCTATATTAGTGAAAATTTGTGATAAAACAGATTAGGGAATTTGTGAAGGACAGGAAATTAAGAACATTAGTATCTGGACGTGGTTGTACATGTGATCTAAATTCCAAGGTAGAAGCTTGTTAGAATGAGGATCTTAATGTAGGAGTGGGAGTTTAAAAAAAAAAAATTCAATTTTTGTGCATGCATATGCATATTTACATTTTATTTCTGGATAATACTGATTTTACAACTTTGATGTGCATGCTTGGCTGAGTCTGTTTCAGAAAGAAGTATTAAAGGATTCCATTTTTCATGGGAAAGGGGTTGAGAAGATATTTATTCATGTTTGTTTCAACGCCAGCGGTTCTCCACTTGAATCCCCTGGTTTGTTGCATTTATGCTTTAAATGCTTTGGTTTTTCTTATTTTAATTGGTACCATTTGTCTTTCTTGGTTACATGGTTGATTGGGTGATGGCTGATATAAGAAACAAAACTTGGTTGGCTGGTGGATTTGCACGTGGTACAGAGGCTTTCCCAAGCTTTGGGCGTGTGAGAGTGAAGCACAGAAAGATCCTTCTTACACTTAAGGGCACTGTAATTTGTTCTGGAGCAGTGAAGATGTATGAAGGGGAGAGGACATACATTTGCAAGAAATGCAAGCACATGTAGGTTTCTCATATGTTTCCTTTACCAAGCACATAGATGTATATGAGTGTGTGTCCAAACATGAACATTTTCCCTCTATAGTAAACCAGTACCCTGAAGTAAATATTGTCACTACGCATGGCCCAATTGAATATCCTGCTGGCTTAAGTTGTTCATTGTACAACTGTGGTTAGAAATAGGGCACGTGTAGTTTCTCCTTGTCTATTGTGCCAAAAGGAACATCACATATTGGACTGTTAATGAATGCAACTATTTTTGAAGGGATTGGATCCAGAGGCATTTTAACAAAATGTCTCCTCAAACTGCTGGCCTTGGCCTTAATAGAAAAATGTAAGAATAATTAAGTTCTTGAACTACTTAGGTATTTTATTCAAACAAAAGTTATTTCAGAGTATATCTTCAAGTGCTCTAAGGCTGGTGAATAGAAATGGTTCTATCCAGATTCTGGAGTATGTGGCTGTCTTTTTTTGTAACACTCGAGAATTTAGGAAGGACAACCACTGAGCATACACAATAGCTTCGAGACTCGGGCAAGCTTGCTGTGCAGGAAAGTGATTAAGCGTCCATTTGATTCAGTTTTCAAGTGTTTTAGTTTTTTAATATTATTTATATTTTTAAATGTTTTTTTAATTTTAAAAAAACTCTAAACAGTAAAAA